CTTGTAAAATTGGGGTTCACTTCATGCATGCCTTACTATAGTGTAATATACGAACACCACCTAACTGGCGGGTATGCAGTTTATGGTGATGGATTTCATATTTTCTCTTGATTTTTGGACAGTTGTTTTATATCAATGGTACAAATGTTATATTAAAATTTGAGCAGGTTTCGTTGAATCCTTCCGATACTTGTAAAATTGGGGTTCACTTCATGCATGCCTTACTATAGTGTAATATACGAACACCACCGAACTGGCGGGTATGCAGTTTTGGTGATGGATTTCATATTTTCTCTTGATTTTTGGACAGTTGTTTTATATCAATGGTACAAATGTTATATTAAAATTTGAGCAGGTTTCGTTGAATCCTTCCGACACTTGTAAAATTGGGGTTCACTTCATGCATGCCTTACTATAGTGTAATATACGAACACCACCTAACTGGCGGGTATGCAGTTTATGGTGATGGATTTCATATTTTCTCTTGATTTTTGGACAGTTGTTTTATATCAATGGTACAAATGTAATATTAAAATTTGAGCAGGTTTCGTTGAATCCTTCCGACACTTGTAAAATTGGGGTTCACTTCATGCATGCCTTACTATAGTGTAATATACGAACACCACTAACTGGCGGTAATGCAGTTCATGGTGATGGATTTCATATTTTCTCTTGATTTTGGACAGTTGTTTTATATCAATGGTACAATGTTATATTAAAATTTGAGCAGGTTTCGTTGAATCCTTCCGACACTTGTAAAATTGGGGTTCACTTCATGCATGCCTTACTATAGTGTAATATACGAAACACCAACTAACTGGCGGGTATGCAGTTTATGGTGATGGATTTCATATTTCTCTTGATTTTTGGACAGTTGTTTTATATCAATGGTACAAATGTTATATTAAAATTTGAGCAGGTTTCGTTGAATCCTTCCGACACTTGTAAAATTGGGGTTCACTTCATGCATGCCTTACTATAGTGTAATATACGAACACCACCTAACTGGCGGGTATGCAGTTTATGGTGATGGATTTCATATTTTCTCTTGATTTTTGGACAGTTGTTTTATATCAATGGTACAAATGTTATATTAAAATTTGAGCAGGTTTCGTTGAATCCTTCCGACACTTGTAAAATTGGGGTTCACTTCATGCATGCCTTACTATAGTGTAATATACGAACACCACCTAACTGGCGGGTATGCAGTTTATGGTGATGGATTTCATATTTTCTCTTGATTTTTGGACAGTTGTTTTATATCAATGGTACAAATGTAATATTAAAATTTGAGCAGGTTTCGTTGAATCCTTCCGACACTGTAAAATTGGGGTTCACTTCATGCATGCCTTACTATAGTGTAATACGAACACCACCTAACTGGCGGGTATGCAGTTCATGGTGATGGATTTAATATTTTCTCTTGATTTTTGGACAGTTGTTTATATCAATGGTACAAATGTTATATTAAAATTTGAGCAGGTTTCGTTGAATCCTTCCGACACTTGTAAAATTGGGGTTCACTTCATGCATGCCTTACTATAGTGTAATATACGAACACCACCGAACTGGCGGGTATGCAGTTTATGGTGATGGATTTCATATTTTCTCTTGATTTTTGGACAGTTGTTTTATATCAATGGTACAAATGTTATATTAAAATTTGAGCAGGTTTCGTTGAATCCTTCCGACACTTGTAAAATTGGGGTTCACTTCATGCATGCCTTACTATAGTGTAATATACGAACACCACCTAACTGGCGGGTATGCAGTTTATGGTGATGGATTTCATATTTTCTCTTGATTTTGGACAGTTGTTTTATATCAATGGTACAAATGTTATATTAAAATTTGAGCAGGTTTCGTTGAATCCTTCCGACACTTGTAAAATTGGGGTTCACTTCATGCATGCCTTACTATAGTGTAATACACGAACACCACCTAACTGGCGGGTATGCAGTTCATTGTGATGGATTTCATATTTTCTTTTGGTTCACTTCATGCATGCGTAAGTATAGTAATTAGCTTGTATCTATGGTACATTGTCATAGCAAGAGTCACTATCATCACTATAATTATCATTCTCAGATTGTTCGGTCCCAACTTTAGAACTTTCTTCAAGACCCATTTCTTCAGCTAATCTACTCAAATGATCTTTCAAGTGTTCCTCATCAAACTCCTTCACCTGCCGGAACATCATTAAGGCGGCATGTAATTGCTGGTAGCAAAAGTCGATTCCCAATCTTGTGATTGATAACTTCCCTTTAATGACATTTTCATTTACAATATTTGACGTATATGTCGATTCCTGGAATTGAATACAATTTTGAAATGTAAAGGTAATGATCATACAACTAAAAACTCCATACCTAATTAAAAAAACTTACTTCATTTGGAATATCATCAACGATCGCAGTGTCCTCCACAGGAATGTCTTCAGACGTCTCCAGTTCTAGTGTATAAATAATAAAAAAATGCTAATTACGGCTTCATCACGCAAATATAATTATCTATACTTTTTTGTTCTATGACTTCTATCTATTAAGCGCAAATTAGATATATTTATGTGCATGTTCATTCGAATTAAAAAATGATAGATATTTGAATGATCTTTCATATTTTTCAGAAACTATAATAAATTTGCATACATTATACCTGTCAAATCTTGCTTAAGAATCACACGCTGTTCAGTTAGCTTCGGAAGGACTACATTTTTGTAGTACATGATATATCTTATCATTTCTTGTTCTATTAAGCTGATTTCCTCCTTCGTTCTTCTAACTTCCATCTCAACGTCGGCAACTTGTCGCATGTGTTTCACCGGGATAGACTGTTTCTCTATTTTGAAAAACAGAGGGTGTAAAAATATGTTTCAATTTCAAATCAGCCTCACCTTATTGTACACACGTAACTGCATGCACTTACCTTCGATTGGTAACCATGGAAATACTCCATTTTCTGCATCCAGTATGTTCAGTGATGTTGATTCCTCGCTAAGACCGTTGTAACTTCCAACCAATTTCTCTAGCGTATTCTTTTGAGATTGTATTTTCCCACGCAACCTTTTCCTCTTTTTTGATGAATCTTAAAGTAAACAGTAGGCCACATATACCAAGTGGTTTTTTACAATTTTGGACCAATCGCTATGCCAAATTTGCATTTGGAGCGATGACATATACCGTAATATATGTGTAATTATACAGTACCTGCAAGCTTTCCCATGTTGAAAGCAATTTGCACTATGTTGAAATGGTGCGTTTGAATCTTCCTCTGCAATAAACCTATCATAAAATTTTTCAGACCTTGTTCAACGCCTACGTCGTCAACTGATTGGTTGATATCATTCTTTGATTGAAGCTTCTTGACAAATGTCTCGTTGGTTTTGTTCTTCTCCAGCAAGCAATTGCGACGTGGGAAGAGAGTAGCCACACAGTTCAACAAAGCAGAAGATTCAGGGGACAGAGGAGTATTTAAACAAAGTTTGTTGATAACAAACAGTTCTTGTTTTGCTGTCATACACGCTTTTCTTCGTTGCAAAGCATCCTCTTCTAAAGAGGCGATTGAAAATTAAAGAATAATTATGTTAATCGTAATCATCGCACTGTAGTACTGAACACCAATGGAAATGGAGCCTTTCACGGATAGATCCAGCGAGGTTTGTAATTTTTAATTTAGTATTTTTACACAAGTGAATATAACCAATCCTACATTCTGATCATATTGGGCTACCTATGTTCTGATTGGTCAAATTTGACGCATTATGCAAACAAAACCGAAATTGCAAAATGTCGGAAGATGACGAAATACGTTATTTTAACGAAAATACTGTATTCCTGAAAGCGCAAAAGCGAAAAAATTAGGTCTAAAATTATTTTAAAGGTAAAAAACTACTTTGAAGCAATAAACCTTGTGCGACTTTTCTGAGTTCTTGAATCCATTTTTCAGTATCATACACATCTGCACATCCAATGCTTTCCAACAAGTTATCTTTTTCTTCGATTGTTTTACGTAGTTTTTCCTTTGTCTGTAATACACGATATTTAAGATCATATCAGATTGACTATGATATCTGAAACCTGTTTAACGCTATAATGTCAAACAGGTTTTCGTGCATTCTATTTTTTATAACACCTGCACCTTCGCATAGCGACTGGTGAGATACCAGGCCATTTTCTATATTTTTCGCTTGTTCCAAGCGAGAGCGTGTTCTGTTAGGAGCTCTTCTCTACCTAATTAAAAAGTTAACATGTACTTATATTGAAGCAAAGTAAATTCGTATAACCATTGTTCTCGGATGTATACTTCTAAACTTTTAAAAACAGTTACATACCTTCAGGAAGCATGTGCTTTGTAGTATTTCCAAGCCGAGAAAAGTGACTATTTATTTGTTCCACTTCCTCTCCTGATGTACAAGCAGCTCCTGGTTGCCACCGCCCTCCTAAGAGTACCTATGAGTATAATATGTACATTTATGTATATATGAATATGATATATAAGTTGCTTCAAGTCTGCAAATGATAGGTTGCAGCAAGGCTGATTTTCACAAGCTTGCTGCAACTTGATAAAATTAACAAGCTTATTGCACCTGCATCCTGTTAATAAATTATTCACCTGACACAACCAAGAATGTGCTTTAGCATGCATCACAGGGAGAGCTGGTTTCATTTTCTCCACTGCGGTAGAATCATTCTTAGTCAGCCACGGCCAACACATACACACCACATCATACCAAAAATACTCAACACCTCTTGGAATCAGATATTTGGTTTGCAAGAAATGGGCATAACTGTATATTTCACCCCTGTGCATGCTGATGGCTTTCTGTGCAATAGAGTGTCTGCATCCTAATATTTCCAGTCCTGTCTCATCCAAATTTCGCCGCTTTCTTGCTGTGTTTTGTCCAGCCTTCCATTGTGATTCGCCGCAAGAGGACATATCTTCATTCTTTGATAAAATACGAGAAACTAATTAGTAAAATGCTATATTATGATGATTCCACCAATTTTACATGGGATATAAGATTTACCAACAGCTTGCAATATAAATGAGGTTTCTTAAAACCTGAATGCTTCACATTGCAAATTGTAAGTAAATGTTATTTAATTCAACAATAAATTACTCGATCAATGTTGCCAGAGAAACCAAGAGATTGAAGTTGTTGCATGTGTTGTTCAACCTTCTTGGAGCTAGCGATAAATGTTTCACCATAGTAACAATCACGTTGTCTTCTAAACAAACGAAAATGAAAATAATGGAAGGCTTTCAAAATTATTAGAATATTGTGCTTAAATACTAGACACTACTTCATACCAATATTGCATCAGATTATACAACAGAGATTCTTACATGAAAAAGTTGTGCGCAGAGTGATTACAATGTAACTTATATTTTTCTATAAATTTATGCGTAATTTTACCCTCCGGCAGATATAAATCGATAAAGCTTCATGTTTCCATCCACATGACCAGAATGTTGACTGACTGAACATGTTGGAGATTCCATCCAGTTTTTACCAGCCATCTTTTCCAATTCAAATTTACAAAACTTCCACTCTTTGTAAGCTCGATTAAATGATGTTGTATTAAGTACACCAACCTTAAATTATATAAAAAGTAACCATTAAATTATACTATTCGAAGATTTAAAAGTGCTTCTGTTGATTCTATATACTAACCCTCCCTTTGTTTACAGAAAATTCCTGCAGGCTAGACAAGAAGGATCTTTCTGAAACTCCTGGAGATAATTTCTGTAAAATGTCCCAATATTCAAAAAGTTCCTGATTAAAAACAGTTGTCAGATTGGTTGGCGATGAAGGCCAATACCCCATTCCAATGATGGTTTTCAAATTCCATTGTGAAAGAAGTAGATTGCACTTTGAACATATTACTTCAGCAATTTCTAAGTCATAGCGACCTATAAAGATCAATGTGACAAGATATAGATAATACAGTAAGTCAACTTGGTTTTTAGACAAAATGCAATCCAATGACTTTATCATCATGTGACTGATATGATAAAACCTAAGTTCAAGTATGTTGAATGAATATGTCTTAAATCTTAAATGCTGACTGGTTATTGTATTACCAGGTATTGGTTGATTTCATAAGTGGGTGAGAATGTTTATAAACAAGTTTTAAATAAATCACAATCTGCAAGCATGTGTGTATCAGGCTTGAAAGGAAAACACACCTCTCAAAGTTATAACAACACATTTTTCACTCTTAAATCTTTCACAAAGGTTCTCACTGCTTTTACACAAAGGACATTTTGATACATGGTAAGGCAAATGTCTTCCTAAATAATAACAAATAAAGAATAATTCATAGGAGCATCACATCATATGTACCGTAGTTAAATGCCATCACTACTTTAGTATACAGGTAAGTTTTTTCTTTGAAATCTAAAGAAGCCTTCTAAACTATACACTTACTGATAGATTTAATAATCCCATCTTGAGAAATGGTTTGACTGGGAGGAACAGGTTGGTAATATTCTTCAATAAAAATTTCTCTATCATGTAAAGGCAGTTTAGAATGTACAACATCATCACACACTGTACACATATTTCCAGGCCCACACTGAACACATCGAATAGCAACATCACTACCAACAAAATGGCAACGACAACATTCACCTGGACAATTTCCTGCCAAGGTCAATACATGTTCCATAATGTCTTTTCGATGGTCTTCCCATGTTGAATTTAATGCTTCCATTCTGGAACACCAACTTCGATTTTTTTTACCATCCCAGTTTGCCAAAGCCTCTTCAATATCATCAAGTATATTTTCTTTAAATTAAGAATAGAAATTATTACAATACAATTAAGTGCCCTGGTTACTTTATTGCCTGTCAGGCAGGTTGTTACAACTATATGTGGCATAATAAATGCAAAATGTATGTATTAAATAGAGTTTAACTGTACTGACCTAATTGCTCCTCTGATGTGGGTTCTTCCAAAGAACCAGATACAACAGCATCATCATTATAACCATCATCATTAATGACTGGTTGTGCAGACATGTGCTCTGAGTCTTTGCTTGTACAAGGTCCTTGTAATATTAAAATAAAAAGTGCAACAAGACTGAGCTAAAAGGCTAAGAAAAGTTTTTTGATAAATGATAAAGAGTGCAGGACTACAATAAATTGTTGGGCTGGCTTTGCTGGTGGTCAGAATTAGTCAAATAAGTTATATTAGTTTCTAAATATTATATTTATTGGTACTTATGGCTGAAGCTGATTAATAGTTAAAATAGTAAGAGTTTGTAATGAGAAATGGTGCCTAGAAAATCAATTTTAATTTATTGTTGAAAAGCTACTGTTTAATAATTTTAAATAATAAACAAATCTACCTGGACAAGCTGCCTTCCTTGATAGGCTCCTATCACGGTACTTTGTATGTGTCTGACGATTACCAAGTTCATCTCTCTTAAATCGAACAACAATATCTTTTTTCCTTTGCTTTTCTGACTGACATGGCTGCAATTCTTTAGAGATTTCTTTGGTGAATTCCTCTAATATCTCATCCATTGACTGGCTTTTCTTTCGCTTTCGTTGACGTTTTGGAAACATTTTGACAAATATTGCTTTAAGCTAAAATATATAAAAAATACATTGTATAATTTGCTTACATCATTATACATTTATATAATATATAATGACTTGTGAATACATGAATGATGAATACATGTATATGACAGTAATGACACAATTCAAGGCAACATAAATACACAATTAACTATCGAAAGTAACAGTAAAAATTATGTTGATGTTGTGAACTAATTTCGGAAACACAAAGAAATCTTTTCCAGTTATTTTTTAGAAAGGCAAATTGGCAAATAGTTCCAACCCTCAGCAAGCTTATTAGTTATTAATAAAACATAAACATCGTCTAATTTGCATATCGCATAAAAGTTCGCGGAGAGTGAAAAAAAAACCCAATTCGCGTTTAGTTAGAAAGACTTTGTTTCGTACTACACAATTAACATTCTTATGCACAATAAATATTAGCGGTTATAGCGTAAAAGGCCATTTTCTTACTTGTTTTTTCCTGAGTTTGGTCGGCCATCTTTGATTCTCAGATGCGCAGTACTGATTGTAATAGAGGCCTGTAGAGTCGCTCTTATTATGATTATTATCATCATATTAAACGGAAATGGTTAATTGTTTATTATAGTCATTATAAGAGTGAGGACATGTTGGGTCTACTGCCGTTCGTAACGGATAGCGTTCTTGAGCCTGGACAGAAAGCCCACTTTTACTCAATAATTTGTCGAGTCCAGGATAAAGAACTTCAATGTTTTCCAGCATCCCAACGTGATAAGATGCATAACGAGCGTAATTTGGCTTATTTAATGTGAAGTACATTGGCAAGAATTGTTTCCACCCTGCATACCTAGAACTGTGGTCATTTTCCTGCACGGCTAAGTGTGCTCTTCTTTGCAATTCAATTAAGTCAAGATAAAGCTGGACCCAAAACTGGGCAGTTTTTCCAACACTCCTTTGCAAATTTCATCTTTGAAAGCGTTGTAATGGGCGTACAATTCTGCCGCATGCTCAGTGAGATCATGGCAGTTGGACATTTGGTCTTCATCAAAGTTGTAGAAGATCAATGGAATAACAAAATCTTTCTCTTCCAAGAATCTCTCAAACAAAAGCCTTTCTAAGGCCTCTGAAAAACTTGCATGTACAATCCATGCTCTGTTGTAGTGGGACCCGGCCAGAACACCCCTGAGGCTTCCTGTCGAGCATACTCCAGACTGGAACACGACGTCTTCAAAACCAGATGCAGTGATGAGTTTGCCAATAATGCCAAAATTCTCTTTAATAAAATGAAAGTCACCCAGGTGGATAACAACATTGTGAAACTTGACTGGAAAATTCCAAACAAATGTGTATGATTCCACAAGGCGTTGCACTGTGGATCCCTGTGAATGATTTTCACTTTTTAAAAGGCGTATAAGAAACGACATCACAGAAGCAGGTGGTTGTCTTATTTCAGAAGCGAGCTCTTCAACGTATGGTGGCCACGAAAACGTTGGAAGCTTAAGAGCATATTGCTGGATATCTTCGCGGAGAAAATCAGCAGCTTGTTGGATAATGTGCTCACGATTTCTAAGTAACGTATTTGATTTAATCACTGCTAATAACCACCTCCGGTGTTTCGCCGTCGATTGTTAAGAATAGCAATTTGTCTGGAAACTTGGATAAAATTTTTGCCTTAAGTTTACTACGATATCTTGTACATGTACGCCACATAAACTGTGGAGCACGCTCATTGAAATCGCCTGATTTTCCGATATTATTCTTTCTTCTATACATCTTATTACCGCATCAAAGTTGCCTTGAGGGGTTTCATCTGAAGTCTGATTTGGGACAGACTTTTTCTTCCTGGTAAATTCTCTATACCAAAAGTCATGGTATTTAAATTCTTTGCCTATCAGGTCTAGATTTTAATTTCATAGAATAGTTTTTCATCATTGGCCTCTGCAGCGTCCTTAATGGATGTGACAGCGGTGTCCGTCGTTACTGTTATTGGGGTTGAAAAAACACCATTCCTCTTAACTCTGTACTTATGACAAAGGTTGCATTCTTTTGGATAAATATGACTGGAGCTGGAAGTTGCAGATAAACTGCGTTTTAGACAAGAAGACGATTTCTGATTTGCTTCTGATGTGCTGGAACCATCTGACGACGACTGACGTTCTTGGGAAAGAATCTGAGTTAACTTTTTGTAACAAGGCTCAAGATGAATGCCATGTATAGATAAGTCAAATTCTTCTGGTATCGAATCACACTGTTGCTTGTGATAATTCCTTTTGATTTACGAAGATTTTTCGCCTCATCGATTCGCTTTTTGTTTACATCTGACAGTGGTTTAATGTTGCTATATGTTGCGCCTTTTATATCGTAATGAATGATGCATCCCAAATTGGCCATTTCTATAGTGTTAAAGCACAATAAAAAAAGTAAATAAATCGCTCATTTTTCCATGCGCTACTTCAAACCATCAGTATCATGGGCTCATACTGCACTTAACAAGTTCGATGCTCTCTTCACAAAATTTTTGACTACTGTATACACATACTGTATTTTAATCAAATACGTGTATTTAATTTACTCAAGAAAAGTATATTTGTAGCAACAAAATGTCTATTTTCTCAATTTTTAGCCAGTAATTTATAAGTAAGTAATTAAGTTGTAGCAAAATGTTTTGATCAATTTAATTTGGGTCTCCGGCTTTAAATACCACTTATAAACACCATATCTTAGAAGCATGAAAGTTTCACATGACACTACGCTTTTAAAGCTAGTTTTGTAAATTATTGCAAGTAAAGTTCGCTAGAATGTGGTAGTGTGCACATTCACTTGTTAATTACACTTTATTCAAACGTCAACACATAAATGTAAATCAGTAATGGGACGGTTGTTGAAACAAGGTTTCTATCTAGCGTTTTGTTTTAATTATCTGTCGAGATAAAAGAAAGAACTGGGAGAAAGCGATAAACAAATGTCTCTACTTACCATGTAAACAGACTCATTGTTTAAAGGCGGAAATTCCAAGGCTGTAGCCTGTCGTAGAAGTACAGAACTGGCACTGTTATTATAAAAAAACAATATGGCGGATGTCACCGTTGATGCCTGGATCCAAACTTGCATTCTGTATGCATCGAAATACATCGAAAGGCTGTAAATCACACGCTAAAAAATTCTCTTATTACTGTTTAATTTCAATGATTTCATTATGCATAAAATTTAGAATATCACTAATAAAATATCTTTTATTGGTGAAGAAGCTTAAGTCAATAGTCGAACGAAAAACCGGAAATCCAGACTAACAAGCCTCATTGCACGCTTTTTACAAAAAAATGTGCAGCTTTCTAGTCTCTAAATAAATTGATATTCAGCTTTGACATCGATTAAATGCATGTAATATAAAAAAATAAATCAATAAAACAAGATACGTCGTGTTGGCAGAAGTCGATTCTTTAGCTCATTAATTACGATACTACACATGAAAAACTCCCCCCTGCTACCAAATGCACCCGCAGATCCCCGTTTACCATGACGATTCCATACACCCGAGGGAATACCTACCTGAAAATATGCATCTCATTTTCTCCGGCCCCAGGTGGTACTCACCTCAACCGTAGCCTGGTCTATTACTTTACTTTTTTAAATTGTCGGTTGGTCATGGTTTTTAATATGAACATTGCTTTGGCACTTATACATTTGTAATTTTATAACATTATCAGTGATAGTATTCTCATATTATCATTGTAATTTACAAATTCTTGATCTTTGACATATCGAGTGTATATGTATAATATATATTTGTTTTTATAGAAAATGGCAATGATGCTGATCATGGCAATGAAGGTGATAATGGCAATGATGGTTATCATGGCAATGAAGGTGATAATAGTAATGATGGTTATCATGGCAATGAAGGTGATAATAGTAATGATGGTGATCATGGCAATGAAGGTGATCATGGCAATGATGGTGATCATGGCAATGAAAGTGATAATGGTAATGATGGTGATCATGGCAATGAAGGTGATCATAACAATGATGGTGAACACCCACTGTTGCAAGATAACAATGTAATTGTGAGTAATTTGACAATTTGTTCAATTTGTAATAAATATTAGGGCTGAACAAATCATTTTAAATAGTGCCATGAACCAAAAACTACTATGTGTAATAGAAATAGATACATGACAGAACTGATAAAAAGTGTGATTTTGACTAAATTACAAAATAATTACTTTAACAAAATTTGTAATTCGAATGATGACGTAAATGATATTTACTGTAATAAATATACAATCAATTGCTAGCGGCAATCATACTGGCAATCATGAAATAACCTGGATTAGCTAATAAAAACCAGGATGTCAGTTTATTTGCATACAAAGCTATACCTTCGTTTAAATTACAACACAATTTAATAAATTTTTGCGACCGGGGGTCTCCTTGACAGGTAAATGGTTAACTACTATTAGGCAAATTTTCTGATTGTTTGTTTGACAATGTTATAGGGAGATCAATTTAACCATGCAGAAAAGGAAGCTGTGGATGAACTGCTTTATGAGAATGCAACGATAACCCTTGGTCAGAGTTTACTGCTCATTATGGCATTTGTTCTTAGCAACAATCTAACAGGTGTGGCTATTGGTAACTTGCTAAAGTTGTTAAGCATGCTACTCCCTACTGGATCCAACTTGCCTCGAACAAAGTATTTGTTTGACAAGTACTTCACCAATTTTCAACAAGGACTTGAACATAAATTTTTTTGCCCAAATTGTGAAACAAATCTTGCAACAAGCGAAAAGCTGAAATGTTGTATTTGTAATGTAGAGCATGAAAGACAAAAATTGCTTGAACAAGGTAGCTTTTTTTTATATCTACCTATTGAAAAACAGTTGAGGGATTTCCTACAAGAAGGTGATACATACAGTTATTTAGATCATCGCTTTACTTGTGACACTGATAATGATGTAATTAGTGATATTTATGATGGCCAAATGTATAAGTCCCTTGGTAATGGTATTCTGACATATGATAGAAATGCTTTGAGCATAACTTTCAGTTGTGATGGTGTTCCTGTCTTTCGTTCTTCCAGTTATTCTATCTGGCCTTTGCAAGGTATAGTTAATGAACTCCCTCAACAAAAACGAAATCAACATGTTTTCCTGATTGGTCTGTGGTTTGGTCCCAGCAAGCCAAACATAACTCAGTTTTTAGATCCATTTACCAAGGAATTGAGTAAGCTTGGGTCTTTCGTCATGAATTGGCTAAGAGGTGGTGTTGAAGTCTGCTCAAAAGTTTTTGCTTGTCTTTGCTCGTGTGATAGTGTTGCCAGGTGCTCCATCCAAAACATTCACCAGTTTAATGGTGTCAATGGTTGCAGCTGGTGTTATAACCCTGGCACTATGGTCTGTAAAGGTCGAGGGAACACCAGAGTATATCAGCAAGGTGCTGAAGGGCACAAGCTGAGAACTGAAAGTGAAGTGAAATGTGATGCGAAGATGGCATTTAAGCACAATAAGGTGGTTAATGGGG